CTATATTTTACATATAACAATTCTGTTTTTAAATAATATAATCTACTGCTATTATCTATTGAGATTAATAATTTAGAATAATTTAAAACTATTGAGATTCTGAATTCCTATTAGAAAAGAAAAGATTGTAAAGGATTTTGTTTGAAATATACTATTCATTAAATCGATTATAAAATATTAATTAAAGAATTTATAAATTATTTAAAGAATATATAAAAATTAATTTATAATTTTTATCGAAAATATTTTGATAAATTAGAATTTATTTAAACAAATACTATTAATTTATAACAATTAAATTATAATATTCCTATTTCAATAAAACTTAGTTTTTAGAAAGGGAATAATATTACAATATAAAATCATATAATATATTAATTCTATTGAATAGAATTAAAATAAATGTTTATATCAAAATATAAGTAAATTAGAGTTCAATTGGATTAATTTGTTTATAAAAATTTTGTATATCTTTAATTTAGAAGATTCTATATTCTAACTTTTTGAATTATATTTTAATTCTCAATTTAAATCTATTATCTAAATTGATATAACTTTACCAAATTAGGGCAAAGTTATTAGAGCTCTATTCCTATCTGCCTGCCCCGTAATAATATCTATCTTATATATTCTAATTAAGTAATAGAATTGTTTAATTTGATATTATAGAGTTTATATATAAATTAAATAAAAGATTAACGTAATTTAACATCGAGTGGGTTATATCATTAAGTAGGCTACTTTCACCTTAATTTACATCTTCAAATATAGATTATTTAATAATTATTGAATTAATTGATTTAAACTATTAAGAATCTAATAATCTAAAATCTATTACATTATTTTGATAGATTCTTATATTATAATCTGTTTTTCTATATTTACTATAATATCAATTAAAAGATATTTCCCCATTAGAATCCCCCCTTTTTTAATGTTTATTATATTAAATCTAAATATTAATGTCTTATTAAAATAATATATTAATAGTCTTTTATTTAATAAGCATTTCTTCTTAATATAATTAGGTTTTTTTTATATATTGATATTTATTTAATATTTTATTTACTACCCAAAATATATAATTCTCTATATTTAAAAGTATATTTTTATAAGCTAATTTTTTTATACTTTTAATTAGAATTAATACAATCTCAAATATAGATATAAGGGAGTTTGTTTAATAATGAGTTATTCGAGATTTAACTAATATTAATTGAGAAAGAGCTTTAATTAGATTATAAAGAGTTTGAGAGATTTATTAATTTAGATTGAAAAAAGAGGGAGTAGATATACAAATTCGAATATCTAATTTCGAAAATATAATTAATATATATCTTAATAGATCCATTAATTTGATTATTATATAAATATTTCAGATTATTAAAACAGTTAATATCAAGTAATTGAATTAAATAATTTGAATATGGTAATAAATATAAATATATAATATTATTTTTTTTATAATATATTTGAAAAGTTATTGATTTGTAGTTTTTATATTCATTTAGTATTAATATTCGATATTTGATTTTTTTTTAATTTTTAGTATACTTATCAAAATATTTTAATTATTCTAAATCTGTTTTATTATTTATTTATTTATTAGATATAGATTTAATAATTTATTTTATAGAAAGATTTGTTTTAATATATTAATTAGAAAGATAAACTTATTCTTAAATTATTAGAAATAGGGGAATAGTTTTATTCTCTTTATTTCTATATATTATTATTATAACTTATTTTTGATTATTTAGCTATATTATCTTACTTCTACTATTTCATTTAATATTAATTATTATTATTATTATATATATAATCCCTATTATAAAATCTATTTTATCAAAATTACAGAAATCTTTATTCAAAATATTATATTTCATTTATATATTTACAATTAATTGAAATTATTTTTTAAAAAGTTTAGGATTTTTATAAAAAACTCTTTGAAAATTATAAATATAATTAAAATACATTTTTCTTTCGATTTGATATTTTATAAATAAATCTATTCAAAGCTTTTCAATATATTTTGTATCCCTTAATTTGAGAATATAATTTGCTATATCTTTTATATTCTTAAATTTAAATAGAAACCCTTTTAAATCTATATTAAAAATATATTGAATAATTACTTTTTCTTCTAATTCTATAATTTTATAATAATTTGTTTGAATTTTTATATACAAAAATAAATTATTTATTTTATAATTAATTATTATATAAGATATATTATATAATTGAGTAATTTATTGAATACTTAGTTTTTTGTTTTTTTGAAAAGCTTTAATAACTAAAAATAAATATACTTCTTTATTTATAGATTCTATAATAAATAATTGATAAAATATATATTGAATATAAAGAGTGTAAATTGAAGTGAAAGTGACCCACTCGGTGTTAAACTATGTTATTTGATAATTATAGAAATACGCGTTTTAGAGGAGTACTATGTTCAATCATATATTGTTATACAAGACGGTGAATTCCGTAACATGTCACGCTAAAAGTGACGCCACTAACAGTCTTAGGCTAATTGGGTTTATATAGGCTTAATTCTCTCGTAACATTTATAGATTCTAAAAACAATATTTAGAATTCAAAATATACTATTTATATCAATTAGAATCTAATTAGATTAAAAATGCAATTTTGGAGAATATTTAAACTTAGTTTAATATATTTTGTATATATTTTATTAAACGAAAATATAAATTAAATAATATATATAATATGAATAAAATCGGATTTGGAATTAGAAGTACTTAAAATATATATATTATAGTTGATTTTATTTAGAAATCAAATTGGAAAGTTATAATTGATAAATAAAAATGAATAATTAAATTTAATATATTAATGTAATTGAAAAGATTTTATTATTTATAGTTATTTTTAAGGTTTAGAATACAAATTCTGTATAGATTTCAAAGGATATATTTCAAAACTGATAGTTTTCTATTAATACAAATGCATGAACTTTAAATAATTATAGATTAGAATAGTCAAAAAAGATTTTCGAATTAGAATCCAAGAAAGTATTAGATAACCGATCTCGACTTTTGATTATAAATAGTTAATTAAATCATATGCTAGGCAGCTTTATTGTTTCCTATATAGAAGAAGATATTGATTTATTCGTATTATTATTTTTTGGTTTTTATTTTTTTTAGCCATTTGATATTACAATATATAAGTTAATGAAATGATATTATGCTTTAAAGATTGATTAATATTTTTGAATTGATATAAAACGAATCCAAAAAGCTGAATGAATACAATTCTTTTAAAATATTAGAAAAAAAACATAGATTTTTTTAATATTAAAGTTAATTAAAGAGAAACTGATTTAGTATCTTTTGTTTTACAAAAAGTATTTGATTTACTATTATTTAATTCTTTTTAATGATCTTTTACTTTACAAATAAGAATCTCTGATTAAAATCTAGATTTATTTATATTTAGAAATTCTTTTTTAGATGGGATAGAATTAAGACAAGCAAATCACATTTTTAATATAATTTTAGTAATTAGTAATTCTTTTATATTATTAATTTATCAATATATTAAAAAAATGATTAGACTTGTAGGATCTCAAAATGCTAAGATAGCCCTATTGTCACCTACTGCGTCATTTGTAACAGCGATCATTGAATAGGTCACGTAGGTTGATTTGAACTGACAGGTGCTCGTGAGTCGATGAGATTGATTGGTCTCGGGAGAGCTACCTTGTGTAAATCAATTCATCACATTGATGAGAAGACGGTAGTAGAAGTTGTAAGTTATGATTAATTCAGATTCATACTGCTCGAGTATACCTACTTTCAAAACCAATAGCAACATGATGCAACAAGTCATATTTTTTCGATTGACACATATGTCGACCATCAAAATCAATGCTTGTAATGGTCGTGAAACCGAAACACTGTGGAATTTGCCACTACTTTACGGGGTCTAAATGGGGTACATACAGATGTTACATCGGTTGGAGAGGGAAGTGGCGGCTTGAAGGATAGTTCTTTCCATAGATTGGCTGGTGGGGTGGGGTGGGGTTGGGTATGAAGAGATCGTCTTCTGTGCCGCCTCAATGGTAAATACAATACAACTCTTTTCCTACGAATGATCTCCCATCGTCTCTTCATTTGTGCGGGTATTCTCCATATGGAAAAGCTGAGACACTATAAATAGCAATCACCAAAATGAATAAACCATGCAAATTTCAATGTCTTATCATTTTATAGGCACACGATAGTAAGTGCAGAGTCTGTGGACGCTGCACTTTCAGGTTGGGTGTCAGAATATTGATTCGTTGAAATGATGGTGAATATAAAAGAGGTGATAATAAACTAACAGGCTAGTACTAGCTTCCGCCCAAGCTGAGGTATCCACAACTACATTCTTAGAGAGGCCATGTTCAACTGCCGCTTACATGGGATATTTCTCCACTTCAGTCCTCAGAGTTCTCGTTTGAGTACTTGCTGCTACCATCGAGATCTGCATGAGAGGTTGTTCTACCCGGCATCTTTTCCGAGGCTTCATGTTCTCTCGAAGAATTCTTTCAGCATTCATTTGTATTAATTCAAATTCCTGTCGGCTGTGTAATTTTTACCAGACTTCCATTCATTCTATAATAAGATTTCAAAGACAATTTTGAGGAAGAACTATTCCGAAGCACCTACTCGCGCCGAGGCTGAGGGGTGTAGATGGAGTGGTGGGTGGGGCGCTTAGTAGGGAACACTCGAATGTCTACGACCATATGTTCTTGGTGTATATGTATTGGTTTTCCCGTCTACATGGAGCCAGGGTAAGCTCAACTCATGCGCAACCTGCCAAGTATGGTAATTCCTTCGCAACAAATGCCCATAATGAGTTGATGGCGAATGTGAGCCGCAGTTAATACTACATGTTGCCATTTCTTTCCATTCATATTTCGGCATTGTCCAGAATGAATTTTGAAACTCTTTTTTCTTACTTCACAAAAAGCACCTCAAATTATCATGGAAGCCGGAAACACATCACATAACGAGAACTTGTCCAAATTAGAGCTCATTCAGGGAGACAGCAACAATGCCTTTCGGAGTTACTTATCAGTCTTTCCCCGGACTCAGGTGGTCCCAAAGCGGAACTCCTCATAAAGACGATGCAAGAAAGCGACCTTAATGACCTGAGAAGGCTTTTCAACTCCAAGACTGATTTGCTTGAGATGAATGTACCTACAAGAATCAACCATGATGGCAGAGAAATATACCTCGACCTCGCCTTAATTCACTGGGCTTCAGGGTTTAGTAAACCTTTGATCATCAATCTTCTTTTACAAATTTAGTGTTAAATTGGACGAAAATATTCCTATAATTGGCAGAACCGCACTACATTTGGCATCTAGATATGGTTCTAAAAACAACATAGATGTACTCCTTTCTCAAAAGCTAGATATAAATCAAAAAGATCGTGATGGGAAGACTCCATTACATTTGTCATCCAGATATGGCAGAGAAGAGGATGTGGAGTGTCTTCTGGACGCACGCGCCGACTATAGCCAGCTTGACAATTATAACAGTATGGCAATTCACTATGCTGCTATGACTGGCGAGCTTGAAACTCTGAAAATTCTTTACAGACGAGGCTCACATAGATATATCAATGAGGCAAACTGTTCTCGCATTGCACCACTGCATCTAGCAAGTATTTTTGGCAATGCCAATGTTGCAAAATGGCTTTTGAAAAGGGGAGCAGCAATCAATCAGCCAGGAACAGGAGGAGACACTCCATTGCACTTAGCTGTTTCCAGGGGTCATGTCGAAATTGTCGAGGAACTTTTGAACAAGGGGGCGGATATTCACAAAAGAAATGATGCTTCCTACTCCGCAATTCTAATTGCGTCTGAAAAAGCTCATGTAGAAATCTTCAAGAAACTAAGAGCATCAGGTGCATTTCTCTCGGATGTAGGCGGGCGAGATAATGGTACTTGTTATCACAAAGTCATATCCTGTTCCCTGGAATTCTCAAGTAACCACAATGATATCATAGTTTATTTGGTAGGTTCAGGTGTAGACATTAACCAACTTAATGCTAATGGCTGTTCACCTTTATATCTTGCATGTATAAATCAAAAACTCGAACATGCCCGGTGCCTCCTGATATATGGTGCCGGCGTTAACCAAATAGGGCATCAAAATATCCCGACTCCGTTGATGGAGGCTTGCTATCTTCCTTCCAGTTGTATAGTCGAATTGCTCTTGCAGCATAATGCAGATATGGAATTAGAGAGCAGTCATGGAATGACTGCCTTGGCATACGCGGTCTTCCGAAATCATCTTGAACACGTCAAGCTCCTTATTCAAAATGGTGCCAACGTCATATTTACTGATCGTCAAGGAATCGTACCTCTTCACACTGCCCCTTTGCGCCAGGAGAACATTGGAATTGCGCTCGAAATCTTAGCTGCGGAACAATACTACCCCAAATTTCCATCGGCAAAATACCCTTACATACAAAGCATTTCGGAGATTCGTAAAATTGAGATCGGATTACTACAAGGTTTTGAAAGCTCTAAGTATGAGACACTGGAGCAGCTTCATATCATCACGTATTGGGCAGTTTCTAATGGTGCCAAAGATTTGGCTAACCGATGCATTGATCATGATCGACAAGTACTGCGCTGGACTAGAGAAGGGACTACATGGCTTCACATAACCTCTAAAAGTGGTATGGTCGAAATTGCACAACTCCCTTTAGGAAGAATGATGATGCAATCAGACACACTGGATCAACCATTAGGGTGGGCAGCAGTTGCTTTGATTATACAGCAAAATAGTCGACGAGACTCGCCTTTAGCCATTGCAATTGAGAAAGGGCATGACAAACTAGAGGACTTGTTTTGGTCCCAAATCGAACAATTTCAAGACACTGAAAAAGATTGATGGAGTCTTATCCAGATGTTTCAGCTCAAATTCTTGAGTTTCTAGCTCGACATGAAGAGCCCGGGAATGAAAAGATACTCAAAGGTTTCTTGAAGTCCGGTGGTAAGAGAGACGTCAAAGACTCGGAAGGTTTCACAGCTCTTCAGTGGGCTGTTTGTCGATCCCAGGCAGTTATTGTATGGTGGTTGTTGTCGAAGGGCGGTTACTCGTTCGACAAGATCAACAGCGCCTTAAAGCTTATTGTTGAAAACAAAGACAAAAAGTCTGAAGCCATAAAGGGATTACTCCAGGCTCCTCCATCAACCCTCGATCATGTCTAGAATCCGAACGAAAAGCATAAAAGCAAGTTTCGAAAGCCCGCAAATAGCAATCAAGTCATGAATTATCAGGTGATCATTGTTGACATTCCTTCTGGTGCAGAACCAAAACGTGCTAAATATGCCCCCTCAAGTGTTCAAGAGCTGATTTACGATATCGGCCCAGAGTACATAATGAGAAAAGCCGGAGATTTGAGTGAAGCGCGAGTTAGCGTCACTGAAGGAAGCCCAAATGTAAAATTTCGGGGCTTCCTCAAACAGGACTGATGTTCAGACGAAAGACTCTCTGAGTCTGGATTCAACTTCACCCCAGCATGAGAAACCTGGCGATGAGGCACCTTCGAGCGGCAGTCTGCTTGAGTCTCATCTTCGCTGGATTCATCTTCCCGTTAAAGAGGTAAGACCTTCAGAGTTTGCATGTGCGTTGAGTTTTGAAGCGACGCTGATAAATGATCGATAGTTAAATTTAATGCGAGTAAGCTGTATCATGATTCCAATCTTGCCACAGATATCTGACCATATTCTTCCTAGGACCTTGTAAGTCGACTATCAAGTGATTTGGGACGATCCGAGAGGGAACACATGGCTATTATGAAACACTTCAACAAAAGCTGGACAGAGCTGGCGGCAGGCGCAGAACGTTATTATATGAAACCCCAATTTGTGGTATGCAATGAAGAATCATGGTTTAGACAGAGCTGGGAGCTTACCATCTTTGCATTTAAAGCGCAAGCAGGAAGATAGCTACCACGACCCAGCCAATGAAAGAAATGGCGACCAGGCACCAAGAGAGTCCACTGCCGGCGCTTGCGCGGCACTTTATGTAAGTGACTGCACAATATCCTGCTTTAATAGAAATGTAAGATACTGACCATTCTACATTATAGATGCCATACCTCGACATAGGGACCTTTGATCGCGAAAGAGATGAGTCTTCAAACACCAGATCTTCCGCTTTACCTGATGAGTCTATTAACGAGCGTAACTCGAGGGAAATCAAGCATGAGCCTATAACTCTCGATCAATATTACTATCCAACTATCGACGATACTTCAAAGAGAGATAATGATCAAGTACTGTCAAAATTCTTACAAAAAAATCCGAGGAATAGGGAGGTACTGCATTCCTGTCAAAAACAAGCATGGGAGAACATATGGTGTTAGAAGCTAACGCTCACTAGGCAGAAAAATACTCATGGTGAACCAGCTTTGGATTTGGATTATCGACAAAAGTACTGTTAAAAATTCTGATTTCCAAATACAAATAAACGTGTGAATTAGCTGACCCTGCTTCAGAAACAATTATCACAGCCACAACTCAGAAATTTGGTGAAACTTCAGAACAAATCAGCAAAGCAGATCGAAAACCTCCAGAGATTCTCCTTCAGAATGCATTGGATGACATACTTCACGGCGATACAAAAAGTCAATTTGAACGCGCAAAAACAGTCGACTCCCTGATGGAGCTTCTTCTTGGTGTTGCATCTGGGCTTTTCATGAAACGTTTTGTACCTGTTTCTGACCAAATCTACAAGGGGCCGATTGAGATATTCGAAAGTCGATTAGAGACGTGGTTTGTTACTTTACTCACATAGGATTGCCTAATCTTCAAACTAATATAATCGATTAGGCCGAGAAAGAATCTTCACTATTCCGAGAGTTTCTTCGAGGTCTCCAGGAAGCAAAACCTCGGGAACAAAAGTCTCTGGAACCAGAGCAAAAGAAAGAACAGCCTTCGAGTGAAGATTCTGACTCCAAGTCACTGGATAAACCAATGCCTTTAAATCGCTACCATGTTATTTTATCTGAAACCGAGCTTCTCAACATGATACGAGATATCCGTGACGAGCTTCATATGCTCAGACCTCTGGCAGAGGATTAAGAAATTGTTTGGAAGCAGGTCTTTGCTTCCAGTGACCTGATGCATTTCAAAGCTTACAGTCCTACCAATGTCAAGAAATATTTGAACGCTATGCTTTCTGAGGCAGATAAGACGGAGGGTTATGTTAGTGAAATGCAAAGGATAGTATAAGTGGACTTTTCAGCTGACATAAAACAAAGATCAACACTCTACTCGACCTACGACAAGCGGAATTCGGCAGATTACAAGCATATGATTCAGCTAGACAGTCCAACAGTATCTTTGTGTTTACAATCATGACCATCGTATTTGTAAGTCTTGATTGGCAGTCATCAGAGAGAGGTGCATACTTGTAAAGCTAATGATTAATCTTCGAATGCAGCTTCCTCTCTCATTCCTGACGTCTCTCTTCGCGCTGAACGTATCCGATTTTCCCCACGAAGGTGACAACGTGCAGTATAAGGGGCGGTGGATATTCCCCATTGTCTGCGAGTATTTCTGAGACCGAGATATTCAATAGCTAACATGATGATTAGTTGGTGTCACCGCACTTATTTCTGTTCCAGCTATCATTTTCGCGTGGAAAGTCAACGCTATTTCTAGCTTTCGACCACGAAACAATATATCCAGTGCAAGTTTAAAGCATACTGATGTTATAAAAAGAGTTCGTGGTATGGTGAGAAGGAGAAGTAGGAGATCGTATGATTCTGAGGCCCAATAATGGCACGCGGGCAAAATGTACACGCATGAGCTGGAAAGTATATTGATGGAATTTTCTTTAGCATATAAATGAATTATAAATTTCAGAACATTTAATAGAATAAAAGTGTATGCACTTGCGATGACTGTAACAACATCAAATAGCTTGACTAGCAAGAGAATGCTACACTGTAGAGATGAGCGGAAACTCCAATTTCCCAAGTAAGTACGAATTCCGTGATGATTTTAGTTGATTTTGGGGAATTTAGCGAGCATTGCGCAGGGAAGATGTATCAGCGCGGAGGGCATATCTTCTCCGGGGAAGGCTGTGATATATAGGATGCTTACCTTTCTTTAAAAAGACTATCCACGTTGACGTCACGAGTTGAAAAATTTATCAGTTTCATTGATAAAGTAGACGACCAGGCATAAAAAGTTATGAAAACATCTACATATCCTTAACACTTATGCATAGGAAGTATACGTGCGAGGAAGACAACTCGCGCACTACAGGAATTTGATCTTGACTACCAGAGACTGATGTTCGTTTTCGGTAAGTTTGAATCCGAAAAATCGTGGGTTCAAAAGGGGTGGGCATAGCTTCGATCTCCTCAGCCTATGGTCATACATACCTGCCTAAATACATGCATAACTACTACGTCTTGACCTTCAATCCATAATTCCCGTCTTTCTTCTTCGTCCGCATATCTTCATCCATCACCAACTCGGATGTTCATCATCTACTCTTCCATCTCACTCTACCCACCCAATCCACAAACTTCTGCACATCTTCCCTCTCAGCCAGTAACTCAACCGTATAATATTCTCTAGCCAATTCCTCATGCCCCGCAACGCGATGCACAAAACTATGACACGCTCTGCATAACCACGCTACATTGTTTAGTTCTTCCTCGGTATGCCACCCGCGTTTCAGGACTTTCGCATGAACGAATTTGGGGATGAGATGGTGGTACGTGAGGGGGATCCAATCGCGGTCGCAGAGCTCGCAGGCGGTGGTGACGGCGCGGAGGGCTTGGGGTGTGGGGGGCGGAGAGAGGATATGCGAGAAGTAGGTGAAGAGGGGCGTGTGGAGGAAGGAAGAGAGGGTTATACAGGGGGGAAGCAGGGAGTAGGTGTGCAGTGAGTCTGAGATTTCAGGGGGGAGCGAATCGGTGAGGAGAGTCGAGGTTTCGAAATCGAGGGGGTGTAGGGAGGGATATTTTCTTTGGAGAGATGGGTCGTGGGTGTAGGTTGTGTATGATAAGGTTCGGAGGTCGGATGGGAGATGCGTGAATATTTCTAGAGCGATGTACTGAATTTACATATATTAACATCAATCTCCTTCGGAATAGTCTCCCATTTTCATGTATAAAAAAAAGCGTACCTCAATGAACTCCGCCAGCTCCTCTGCATCGTTGATTTTAGTTTCTTCTACGTCGATCTCTTTCGATAGAGGTTTTATCGCCGTTTTTCTCCCCGCTTTAGCTTTCCTCGTCTTCCGTTTCGATGTATTTGGGTCGGAGGCAGATGTGCATTGCTCAATCAAGGGTGTAGAGATACAATCGAGAAAGATGCGAAAATTGGGTTCTTCGGTGGTGTCGATCATGAGGCGTAAAATTTATCGCCGATGTTGATGGTAAAGCTGGAGGGCGAAATGAAGGGGTAATGGCTCGGTAAATTTGGGTTCCGTAACTCCATGTGAAGTTTAGAACGTGGAGATTTATTTATCTGGCGATGTTTATATTGATTGAAAGCCCGGACGCCACCATCGATGAAGTCATGACGGTGAGATGCAATGGTGGAGATGCTTATTAGTGCTGCCAAGTATTGAGCTGGAGCCACTATGCGTCGTCCCGCAGTAGATATCGTCAATTCTAGGCTTTCGGTACCAGGCGAGATTTATTAATGATGATCACCTGTAAGTAAATCTTACCCCGCAATGATGCTCTTATTGGAGCTTATCATTTTAATGAATGGCAAATTTCACGGATATTATTCTTCGAAAATATCATAGATATATAACAATTCAATACCAGATATCATTATACGATCCGGTAAGTTGTCATTTCATGTTGTTGAATGAGCAGAGAATGTCCTAATTTTACTAGGTATATACAATCATGTCGGACAAGAAAACGATCATAGCCTTTGATCTCTATGGTACTCTCCTCTCTACCGAAAGCATCGCAAAAGAATTGGCTCGTCATTTTGGCGACGAGAAAGCACAAGCAGTCGCTACACTATGGAGGAGATATGTATGTAGCGATCTAGTGTTTCTTGTCAGTCGGTGTTACTCGTCTGATATATGACCATAGCAATTAGAATACACTTTCCGGATGAACAGCATGTGTAAGTTTAATTCTCTCCCCGGTTCAGGTCCCCATCTTAAATTTTCTCCACAACGAAATAATGGAGAAATATAAGCAATCAAGTAGGTATCTAACATTAATCATAGTACTATATAAACCCTTCTCAGAAATTACCAATACATCGCTTCGTCACGCAATATCCGAACATAAACTTGCTCTGGCTGAAACGGATATTGAGAGTGTAATGAAAGCATACAATTCTCTCTCCGCCTTTCCAGACGCTTTAATCGGACTCGAAAATTTGGCGAAAGATTCGGGAACTAATGCTTATGTATTCTCAAATGGGACAAATGAAATGGTTTCTTCATCCGTCCATAATTCCCCAGAGCTCTCGAAGTTTAAAGATCTCTTTAACGAGCTCATTACGGTAGAAGATGTAAAATACTATAAACCCCATCCTAAAGTTTATGAACATTTGGTTAGGAAAGTAAGAGGTGGTGTTGAGAAAAACGATTGCGAGGATGTGTGGCTTGTCAGTGGGAATCCATTCGATGTTGTAGGCGCGAGACATGCGGGTTTGATGACTTGTTGGGTGGATAGAAGTAAAGGGGGTTGGAATGATATGTTGGGCGATTTGGCAAGTGGGGGACCGCATCTGGTTGTCGAGGGAGTTGACGTCGCTGTGAGGGAGATCCAAAGAGTGTCTAAGGATTAGCAAGGATTGTATGCTGCAGCTCTAGCTTAACTCTGGTGATTATGTGCTTGTGTACTAGGCCTGAGGTAGAGCTTGTTATAGGTTGTACATTCATGGATCATGTGTCTAAGGAGATGAATTGAGAGTTATGAAGTGAAAGAGTCAATAGATAAAAGAAAGTTCACAGTTTTGATCCAAACCTTCTAGGCAAGAGAGTTGAAATAGGAGAATCGCCAGCCTTTCTTGAAACAAATCCTGCAGCAAGTATCTCATGAACGATTCCAGGAAACGTATGTAGCAATTTTATTTTCGTCCTATAATGCATTTCCAATGTACAGCCACATATCACGCGTGGCGGTGCAATATAGCTCTGTCCGCTGCCTGCCCCGCAATATATATCAGCCCGCTCGCCTCGAAGAGCTTGAGATCATTTCGCATGAACTATTTAATACCATATGCTTTTACATTTAAAGAGGGAAGTACAGGAAAGATATAGTAAGGGAAAATGCAGCTTTCGAAATCGCGGTAGTTGTCAAGAGGTTCTTATCATGGAAGATGAGTGGGCAGTTCACGAATCGGTAGGCAGTTGGCCAAAGCAGGTTTCCAGGTAACCAATGGCTGAAGTTATATGGTGTGCTTGGGTTCAAAGAACGTGAACTGGACAGTACGTTGCTACCAGCTCTGCATTTGAGTATCGCAGATCTCTGAATCCAAGAATCATTTCTTTCGCCATCTGCGACACACCGAGGACTACATCGCCGGCCTTACGCGTAAGTTTTAGTGCTAATATTCAAGCTATTGGTCCAGTCTTCACTTCGAATCCACTGAGAGATCAGGTTACATGACATGGACGCGCTTGGAACTCAGGAAACGAAATCTTCCAAGAACGACAGAAGAAGCAGGATAAGAAATCACAAAGGAAATGGATGACATAGAGACAGTGTCTTGATTTCTTGCACACTTCATGGAAGAAGAAGAATTTTCCGGGACGTATGTATTATACGTGTGAATATCCTTGCACCACAATCAATCAATTGAACAAAAACAGACCCTTCCTTCTTGCTCAAGAGCATCGTCTCTTCCTGGAATAATACTCCATATTCCCCGAATTTTATCATTATTTCCTTGAAATCTTAGAACAACCTGGTCGGGATGTTCTCTTCTTTTACAGATCTGCTCGGGAAGCTCTCTCGATTTGTATTGATTCTATTGAATGCGTCCAAAGAAGAAAACCGACTTTCAGAGAGCAGTATATTGCGAACTTGGCGCTTGCTATGTGAAGTTTTTCGACTTTCCATTCTTCAGTTTTCTCCCATAGTCTACCGGTAGAATGGTACAGGACAGTTTCTGACATTCGTGAAAACCATAAACGTTTGAGGGCGGTCGTCACCGGAATCCTTGGTTCTTCGACCTCAACATCGAATACGATACCTTTTATACATGGTTTTGTTATTATTATTTATCTTTCAAAAGCTGCTCTTGATATGCCAACACACAGATTTGAATTGCTCGATTTATATTGACGCAGACGTCGCTAGTTCAGACTGGGGGGTTAGTAGACCCCGAGAAGACCCAGAGACGACCCAAATATTTTCGTCCTCGATATTCCAAGTAAACGATCTGTTCTCCAATTACATATATATCGAGCCTAAGTTGTTCGAATTAGATGGAGAACAAGAATATGAATGTGAGAGTCCGAAACATAGAGATACTTTTTTAAGGGGATTTTACCTACTCAGACTGTGATGATTACCTGGTGGAAAATCTTCAGTTGACTGAGTGACAAATTCTAACAAGGGCTAAACTTCAGTTCGAAAAAAGATTGGATCAAACAAAATATTAATTTTGATGCCCTGAGTAGCTTTGCTTTTTTCCGTTCAAAAAATCATGTTATGGCTTCTAAGTTTGCTTTCGTTCTCCCCTCTGGAGGAAGTAACTTACTGGGAATCTCGGCCATCAATTCCTGGTTTCCTAAATAAAAAAAGCTCCCTGCATTGGCTTTCTCGGGCTATTAGCGTACGAAGGATTGCAGCGGATCAACTGGGCATCAACAATTCTTTTCACTCGATTTTGTGCAGAATTTTACACGCAGGCTCCTATGGAGAAGCACAGAAAGTATCTTTTCCCAACACAAATGATGAGAATAGAATATCAGGTTTTCAACTTGAGATTATTCTTATGTTCTTCGGGGCTTTTCAGTTGCACGTAGTAAGGAGCACGAAGGATTATTTAGCTTAGTCGTTTTCGACAATGGAGGATTTCAACTAGCGAGGCTGACCACAACTATTCAATTTCATTGAATTAATGTCTCTGGAGGATTAATCGAGGCTGACTATGTCATTTCCGTTCTACTGCTTGGAATTTAAGTTTGCGGACTTCAATTTTACAGTGCGAAAGTGCGAGATTCCAAAACTCTGTCGACCAAGACGGTCAGTTCATTTCTCACCCTGAGAAGATTCACAGATAATAGGATAGGAAATATGCAGTTGCCTTTCAAAGATCATGTTTAGACCACGGAGCTTCCTTAAGCTAATAGAACGATATCTATGTCGGAGATTTTCGTAGGACTTTCAGGATGATATTTGGGGAAGTATCTGATGACCAAATATATTATCTTCCTATTCGTGTATTGCTTGATTGGGTAGACTCTACGATGTGACTTATCTCCTGGTGTCACACTGTCTTTGAAATTCTCATGAATCTTGTAAGAATAATACAATCACTCTCATCGCCCTTCCTAACTGTAAATGCAAGCAGGGTACTTCGTCACCTTGACAATAGGATTAGAGAGAGATATCGACGAAAAGCATGTGAGCATGCAATCATATGTCTATGGTCCCATGGAAGCGGGAAGGAAATCTATATTCACAATATGATATCCAGATAACGGCGCTCTAATGTAGGGGTTAGTATGAATGTGGCAGGTAGGATAATTTGAAGAAGGCCGTCATAAGGGATAGGATATGTATTGAGACGAGAAATGAACAAGGTATGCAAGTAGAAAATTGGTTGACTCTTGTCCTACACAATTTTGGATTCTTTCAATCAAAAATCAAGGTTATCTTCATTGCATGTCCGATATTCGACACGCAAGCTGCATATTTTCCCAAACATAGCGCTAAAACGAGGCATACCAAACTTTTATAGAATGCCATGTTGAACAACAACCTTCATGAATCAGGGGAAATGTTTGGATTGTTGGTTCCCCACAATAGGCAGCCGCAAAACTGTACCGTTGTGGATATGAATAGGGCCACTAAGTTTTCTCCCTAGGAGCTTTCGGCTGCCAATAGTTAAAGTTCCGAAAAACATTCCGCGTCCTTATTCTTGTCGTAAAGCTCCATTTGTAATACGCATCATCGTTTAAGATCTTGACAGAAGCTTTTGAGTTCTAGTGTGGCTTGACATATCTCTATAAAGATCCGAAGGAATCTTGACCAACATTTCGACGGGTCTCTAGTTATTCCACGCTACAGTCAAATCATGACCCCATAGACCCATCTTGTGTTGCAGACTTTTCGACGTATTGCCTCGTACTATGTAGACCCGGCTAACCAGAGCGACGCGCCCAATCGTCCGAGCTTGAATTTGTAGTGAATGATCCACGTTTTGCTTAACATTTCGGATCCACTCCTTCCAAGGGGTTTTTCTGGAAGATGGGGGGGATCACCATGAACTAAGTCTTACCCTTTAACCTTACGACAAGACAACACGAGATTAGCCACGATCAAATGCTCCTACAAAGTATAATCATTAGATACAACATCAAACAAATCTTGTATCTAAATGGACAATTGATTGACTAAATGATTACGATATCATTTCAATTAATCCATCATGCCATGGATTTTATTGTAAGACAGGAGTCGATTGGAGCAACTCCTAAAAGCTCTCATTCTCGTGCATACGTATCCGAGATCGCGAAAAAGGCAAGACAGGATTTATTTTCCATCATCTAATCGAACACGACGATGCTGTGGATCAAATCTAAGCACCTTATCTATCTATGTTGGTAATCTCCACTTTGTGCATAGGTAATTCGAAAGAAGTTCGGTATGGCCGCGATTTATTTGTTTTCATTCCAATGTAGGAAATCAGGCATACACAGCCTCTGTATCCCTGAAAGGTTGCATCCTTCGTTACATACCTACTAAGCCTACGATGGCACAGCGGACTAGAAGCCCTGAAGGCTCTTCTCCAACTAGGGCGGAGTAGGTCCTGTTTGTCGGATGTGATAAATTTAATTATTTGGTTTCACGTCATCTAATTGCTTGTTACCCATGAGATTGCAACACAACGGCTCTTTTCGAGACCATAAAACTCCTGTCTCCCCAACCAATCTCTTCCTGCAAGCGCGTTTGACGATCCAACGAAAAAAATTGTCCAACATTGAGATTCGATAAGTTATCGAAGATTTATATTTGAGGAGAACAAAAATGTCAACTTCATTTGATGGTCCATATCCACCGAATCCACAACAAAGATCATCCCGCTGGCCAACTGCACCAGGAGTTTACGTCAACGTCGAGTTCAGGGTCTCGATGTCTGAGAACGATAAGGGGCATGGGGCATCATTGAGGTATGCATCAAGGAACATGAGGGAAAGGGAAAGAGCAAGAGCAAATACACATTTGGGTGGCAAACCAATACCATCGATATTGACACCTGGTCATCCTCAACCTAATAATCCATCTCAATATCAGCAAAAACTACAGCAACAGCGAGATTTCGATCGAGGGCTGAGCATTGGTATGGAAACACCAGGGAGGGGAAGATCTGCACCACCGACGATGAACGATAGAACTCAACCAATTAGTCCAGTCAGTCCAGTTAGCCCTATGAGTGCTGTTGGCAGTCCAATACAACATCGGATAGTGAATTTGCCTCGGCAAAACATTATGGATCGATTAGACCGACCTTTACCATCAACACCAGGACGATTTCGACTCGGCGAAGATGACTTGCCATGGTCAACACCTCCTTCGTATTGGAATGCCGAACCTGATACATCAGAAAGTGTCGGTCCTACAATAACCAGTATTGAGACCTTTCAGCCATATCAACCATCTCCAACTACTGCTAGACGAACGGAAGATCCTAAAAGAGTTCGAGAGTTGTCGGAACTTCAACAGGCTATGATGACGGTGGATAGTATTGACAATGATGTTTGGGATCCGTGGATGTGGGATAGTGCAGGAGATATGCCTAGAGGGCCAAGAAGTATTGGCTGGGCAGTAAGTTCGAACGATGCATCTGGCTCCCCGACCTTGCCATCGCCGAAGACCCCTCCTCCTCCGCCTTACGTTGTTAGTCAGTGGGAAAACGCTTGCCAGAAGAGAATCACGACTACAAGACCTAGAAGTACCGGCTGAGGTTTGAAATTGAAATCCGTACGGAATTTCCTTGAATACGATCTATGGGACAAACAGGGAGACTGAGGAACCTTTCCGGGCGCGAGCACTATCATTCTTTTACAACTATATTACAATAATCTAAAAGGAAATACTCAAAATTCTATGGAAGACTTGCTTTGTATAGCAATTGTGTAGATATGGATCCGCCCGGCACAAACAAGTTCGCCACAAAAGCTGCATATCAGAAAAACACATCGGTGTACATGAAATGAACCTCAGGTTCAAATTCATCTGCAATTTGTTAGAAGTATTTCGGGTCCGAAGATTGCCACTCGAAGCTTGCCTGCCTCACTGTCGTTACAAAAAGCGGTCCGAAATCCTTCTAGTCTATTCGATTTCGCTCCACCCGCATACACGAATTCGTTTCCAATATAAAATTTGGATCATATCAAAAATATAGCGGAGCACAATTGGGCCTCAAGCAAACTCTTCATTGGGACAAGGCGAAAATATCGGATTAACTGAACAAAGACAGGGAGCACAAAAGCTACGAATAACCAGGGTAAAAGCGGGTACCTTCTCAGGAGCTAGTACATTTACGGGACATATTTGACGTCAAATATCAAGCTTGACTGAACTTAGAGATTCAAGGAAGAGCTTTGATCAGAGGGAAGATCTTGCATGGGAATGGAATGCAGCTAGAATATAGCTAGAATTAGGTAGCCAAATTCTTTTGAACCGATGGTTTGAAACACAATTTTTGCAAGGGATGTGAGACTCTTAATCCGAAGAAGATGGTGAAACTTATTGTAGCAATGAATTCCCCATGATTGTGGCTGTGTAAATTTTGTTTTCCCCCTTCCGTTCACTTCAGCAGACCTAGGATACCCTTCAAACACAAGGTTTTGTCGCAGGAAAATGAAGTCTCAGTGTCCTTCGCCTCGTTTCACCTGTGAATATGTACCTAGGTACATCGCCGTAGAACATCGGGCAACCCCCCTGTCCCTGTCTGTCAAAGAAGATCACAGGCATACATTCTCGGTCCTTTTGTTTAGTTGCGGAGATCCTGCACGGAGGTGCCGAAGCTCGTTCGCTTCTATGTAGGTGCCTGGAATTAACGGTTATGTATACTATCAGAGCCATCTTCCGAAGGCATGTCTATTAACTTGGTATTTCGGATGGATGGACGAAAGAGTGAAAATTAAATTATATGGATTATGTGCAGGGCCACTTTCGTAGCTTACAGTCGATGTACCGTCATGAGTATGTGGAGATTGATATTGACGCCACCAAGGCGATAAGTGAAGAAGTAAGTGATAGCGCGTTTCATTCGTTGCGGCATTGGAGGACATGGTTCGAAGATGCACACATGTATATCTTTGATGGTAAGGCATCTCAAACTATCCTTGTTCGTCGATGATTGCCGTCTCTCCTCATAACGCTTGATAGAGATTTAGCTCGAAGTCGAACTGATCCTCTCCAATAAGGATGATTCGGATCGTGTAAGAGAACACTTTATGCAGACAGGCATGCATGTGATAGTCCGGACTTCAAGGTCTAATTGGAAATTCATTGGTAACCAATGCTATTGGGAGGGGCACCGGTAGTCAGTTCAGTTCTTGGGACTTAATCGCAGAGACATGGAAGAAACAAACGATGAAGAACGGGAATGAAAATTTGTATCAGAGGTACCATACTTTCTCGCCATGTGAGTAAACATCGCAATTACATCTTGAATAGTATCAAGATGGCTGTATAGGCAATGATAGGCACGTCCATGACTTCGCATGTTCATATACAGGAGATATTCCATTTAGAAGAACTATGGCTAAATCGGACTGATAATCTCCGCTCATGATATGCAGATGCTTTCTTCCCTCGCATGGCAAAGAGATCGAGCGTCAAAAGATTCTATAAAGTGCTCGTTACATTCAAAAAGTCAGTCATGCATCTACCTATCATACTCTGGGGGTGACACAGATTTACATGACGCAGGGGCCATTTTTCATCAATTCTGTCTCTCTGCTATTATATCCCACAAAGTACCAAACTCGGATAGGCGAAGAACTATCTATCACTTAGGCACAAAAACCATTGTGATAGAAGTTTCTACGCGACGCCAACATCAAAATGCAACCATTCGAAACAATACAAAGATATCAGAGGAATAATCGCAGAACCCCTCCATTTCAACCCTTGCTAGCTTTCGGGTTTCTTACCCCGTGCTATCAGTCAAACCGGAAGGAAGAATGCATCCTTGACATTTGATTGGAGGGTTACTTCTGACGCGGGATGTTGCTCTGTGGGGTTGACTGCGAGGCATATTCTGAGTGCTCTCGGTCGGATGTGCCTTTCGTTTGATATTGTCAATTTCTTTTCAAAGATTGTACAACTGAAATTGCTCTTCAACGTTGTTGTGTATACCATACCTCTAAGTTCGAATCGACTGTATTTGACTTCGTCTCTTTGGCTGCTAAAATTGTCTTTGTTCAGTTGCGTGATGGACGTGAACATGAAATATTTTATTGGTCTTGGGGCTTAAGTATCCTCAACCTACCAGGTTGTTGGCCTAGAGTTCTCGGTCGCAAGTGTGACCATGTGTCTATACTTGCATAGGTGACAACTTGCAGATCGTGCCTGAAATTTGTGCTTGCTTTTGCCTGCTCATTCAATCGTCAACTTAGAATGGTCGATCTAATAATTAAAGTTGCCTACTAATTAGGTCACTCAGGCTCCTCAAAGAGTACATCAATCTAGAGGAAAAGTTGATGTTAAGTTGACATCTGCAACACATTGTGGGCCTGTGGTGTTTGATTATGGCAGAGGGTCGTTGGTTGTAACCGGCCTTCATCCTGAGATGGCTACTAAAAAGGCTGAGGCTTAATTGCAGGCATTTCTCCGCCCAACAATCTCTCATATTGTTTGGTGTATATGTAGCTTCCGGAGCAATAGCTTCTTTCATTTCGAATGATTGACAGCATCGAATTGTAAGATCAACTTATTTGACTGAGCGACGTTAATTATATTCGAGGCGGGACAAGGCTTGATCGGCCTTGCTCTAAGTGCAATCAGCGTTGCAGTTTTTTTACGATATGCATTGAGTATCTTGACATCGCTACTGCTGGAAAGAACTTCAGTGAAGATTATGAGCAGTTGTATGCTATGGTATAACTCAGAAAATGCTTACTTTTGCTAGCATGCATAGTTTCTAAAGGAGAATGCTCTGGTTCGATCATTTCTTCCTCAAATTGGATATCAGATTTGTCGACGGAACCATCAGAACTGAGATTCCACGGCCTGAGTCGGGGTTGAAGGCGTATGTTAAACATTTTACCATCCGGTTGTTTATTTTCTTTCACAAGTTTATTTGGTTAAGTACTAGCTGTGATTCAGACAACTCAAGGAATATGAATTTATGTATTGTAATCCTATATTTTCATTTTTTCATTTTAGCACTGCTGTTTTTCAAATCGCCGGGAATAAGGTGTTTTTAGACTTTCATATACTAACTATAATCTAGGTAGCAGCTTCACACTCTCAAGGCTATCAATCATAAGTTCAATATTTAGGCCGGTAGTAGCATATACTAACCACCAGGCGCGTATTGTCAAGGTCTCGGTTCCCGGCCACTCTTCAAAAATTGATACACTATTGCAAAATTACATATGATACAATTATAGCTTGAAATTTAGGTAGCTAAAAAGAATCGAAAACTTCTTAGTTTCAAAGATAGGTCTCTCTGAGAAATTGGATGCCTAATCGATTGTTTAAGGGCCGTGTTAAAGTTTGTAGTTTGGCTGTTAGTGAATTCATTTATGTAAATTATTCGTTACTCTTCTACATCACTTCATTTTCACACCTACAGTTCTGCTATTTTACGAAAGTGACTTCTCTATTACAGAAACGAAAGTTCTTTCCTTCATTGAGTATCCTCAGGGAATAGAATTACGTCCAAAGCGGATTGACTTCAACTGAAAGTCTATAGCTTCTTTTGGTATTGAGTATCTCTTATAACCTGGAAACTTGATAAACAAACCAGCTCTTTGTTCAAAGTTTTCTTTTCTTTTTCGAAATTACAGTCTTTAACGTGATTATGCTTCGAAAAACTCATCTGAAGAAGGTTGGCGATGAGAAAGCCACATCGAGAGATATCATCCCTGGTCATTCTTCAAAACGACCGTCTCATAATACAAGATCCGAGTCTAAAGATCAAGCTACAATTATCTTTTCCCATAAATACTTCCCGATATCGCGTCATTTCTTTCTTCTACTAGGACCTGGCGTAAAGAAAAAGGAGAGTGCTACTGTCAGAAACCTATTTTCCTCCGCTACAGAGAACTATTGCCGAACAATTGGGGATGGAGAAACAGCAGTAAGCTTGCACGAGATTAGGATTAGTTTCAAAGATTTTGTTTTCAGGCATGAGCCGGTATTTTCCCACAGCAAAGGAATGCTGCATCATTCTGCACCTTCGTGGTAAAGACAATGATGGATGCAAAGTAAAACTCGAAGACAAAAGCTGGTGTTCTATTCATGAATTGTTTAAAATATTTTCTTCTGTGAAAGATCCACATCATCATTTATCTATATTGATAACTTCATCCTATGACGGTTCGGTTCATAACGGTCTCAGAAATCTTCCCGGTGGCACTTCTCTGCTTACGATATCGGAAGAATCGACCAGCAGCAAAGATATACAACTCTGGATAGATAATTTACATGGAGATTGGAAAGAAGGTGCATCTATTTTGGATTTTTTAATGACTTTCTTATCCACGGGCTTCGAAATAGACACTCTCCGGTGATGTATATCGTCGGCAGTAGTTTTCATAAACTAGACTACCTTTTAAGTGGGCGTACAGGAAAACCAATGGAGCCTAACGTTGCTGAATCACTAGAAAAGAAGTACAAACCCGAGGACAGAAATTTAGTTGATATTGCGAGAAAGATTCGTAACGCTAAAGGAGAAGTCTCATTCAAGGATTCGGAGTATGGTAAGGCTGTCGCCTTAACATTCAATTCATACCTGCCATGGATGTAATAGGTAAGTTCTAATCACAAAGAGATATGGTCATCGTTCATTGCATCTGCCATTAATGTTATACTGATAGTCAGCTGGAACAACACCGAGCCGGTGATCATTAGAGGTTCGGAGATATTGAAGATTGTCATACGAGGTCGTATCGCTATTCACTTAGAATAACGCGGGCGAGCACCAATTAAATATCTGGGGGCACTAGATATTATAGGATAAATAGAGTTATATTGACTAGATCTAGATATTTGCTTAGATTCTGCTCAAAGTTTCAACTCACGTTCACATATATATCGTAGAATGCGTATTCTGACATAGGACGAAATCATAAAGAAGAAGCCTTATTGTAATTCTCAAAAATCGCAAGCTGGTTTCGAGTACTCATGGAAACAAACTTCTTATCCATAGATTAATGAATAAGCCGGATCGATAGAACTCGATGGGTTACGACTCACTTGAGCCCAGCCGCCACACTTAGTGCTTAAATGGATAGTGGCTGTAAAAAACTCTTACAAAAGGCACTGCACTCAAGATTAGACGAATATGATCTCAATGAACATGAATTCAAGCTATAACCAACTGGAAGTTCTACTTGGACGCGTATAAAAAACAACGTAAATCGCATCAGTATAGGTTCTTCTAACAATCTGGGAACCCTTTTCCTCTCTTTGATCATTGAAACTAACTATCTGCTACCCGAAATGCTGATTCATAGTTCATTACGTCCGCCATCCCTAGAAAAAAGCATTAAATTCGCCAAGAAAATGACTATTTCTACCATCATACCGTATCTCTTCCATGTCCCTCCTTCACTTCCCTCTGCCTCTCAACTTGGTGATTCAGGCCTCCTTGCCCCACGCTTTCTACACCGCCCTGCTCCCAAAACCCTCTATGCATATTTCTCCCCTTACACATCCCATAGATATCGAATGGATCAATAAATGTAATCCACAATTTTCTCTCATCCTGATATCCTGTACCCTCAATCTCCGTCACCCCATCTTTCCCCAAATATATCTTATTATTCCTCGGCAGAAACCTCATCGGATGTCTCCAATTCAACAAAAATGTATTACAAGTCATAAGCAAAGCTTCAAACACCCAGAAAAACCATTCATATCGGATAATCGGACTAATATCACTAGCTTCCATCCCAGACGTGGGATGCAAATCTGCGATACTGAAATATTCAACCGTGCGATATATTGTTCTCGTTCCGATCAATGCGCTCGATATATAAAGTGTGATCAACACATTGTTCAAATTACTGGGCAAGAGCAAATTTCTGCGACATTTCAAGTGGAAGTAAGCGGCGAGGAAGACAAAGGCTCCTAGAATACCGAGCTGGAGACATAAAGCGGCTTTGAGAAGAGATCGACCGGTTTCTTGCGCATCTTCGGAAAGAGATGAGTTGGCGAGACGGGCAGCGCCGTTAGCGTTGAGAGCTTCGACGATGGCGGAGATGGCACCAAAAGTAGTGAGGACGCGACCTGGATGGAGAGGAGAGTGGTAAGGGACGTAGTAGAGAATGCGGGAGAGGATGAAGTAGTTGACTAGTTCGTAGATGGGTCTGTGTTTTGGTTTGTATTTAGTGCGGATTTGGTTATGTCTCGTTAGAAAGTGGGAGTAGAAGAGGATACGAAGGGGAAATAGGGGTATAACTTACGGTGCAGCGTAAAGCAGAACTATACTCGCGATATATATATCAAGATTGCTATAATGGAAAGCGCCAATTTCTCTGAGGATAAAACCGGCAAGGTATATACATCCACACCATGGGAGTAGTCCGGTTACTTTCCAGCATTTGTAACGACTTCAAGGACTTAGCACAGGACCTCGAACAAAATATCGATGGTCAAAGGCCATGATTGTGGTGGAGGAGAAAACATACTAGCACTGATATCCATGAGTAACCATAGAAATTGCTATCAAGACCGCAAATATAATGGGTGCTACCTTGTTAGGCGCATAGAAATAGAGACTATCCTCGACTAATTAAAGACAATTAATTCAAATACTTCCAACTGGAATTTCAACTATATACATACCAGGCTTGCCGTTCTCCATACTAGTTATTGTTATGGTAGTCAAGTCGAAGTCGTATATATCACAAAGTAAGGAATACCTCCAAGTCCGGAGGTAACATAAGAAAGACACTTTACTAGCTTCCAATGTTGATTAAGTGAACATTTCAACAGCGGCGCAAACAATCTTCTATATATTTTCCGACCATCAGCCGCATTATGAGAATCTGTCATTTCCTCTCCCTTTTCTCTCATCCAATTCATTCGTAAATCATGTTCTCAGTCACCTGACCACGCCATCATTCGCGCAAATACGTCTCAAAAATGCGAGGTTGCAAACATTATTGGCTATCTTCCATCTGCCTAGCAGTGCCCCCGAATCTGGGGAGGCGAAGTCACTAGAGCTAAACGGGCGTGATGTAGCGACGTGACTGCCGAGAAATTTATGTCATAATATTATTTGACGTAATTTTCTCTGACGAATAATGTATTGTTTGTCCGTTAGCTAAACGAAACGAAATACGTTGTATGTAATACGGGAAGAATGATATACCGAGGATCAGAATATCATTGAGTGAGAGATGAATTATGGGGCTGGGCGCTGCATTTTTCTGTTTTGGGAATATAAGTTTTGAAGGAGATACAAGAATTGAATTTATATTCATATAATTTAATTTAATGATACAAACTAGTAATGAATTATTGAACCTTCAATCTTCTTCGAAAAGTATGTATACAAGCTACGGAATTAGTTAGCCGTCGGGGGGAAAGAATCTTACTGACTGTGAGTTCGTAGAATTCCTCTTTTCTTCACATTCAATCAGCATATTATTTACTATATGATTATCACCATTAACGTCCTTCGTAGGCTAATGATTTTGTAGAACTGCTAAGTCGAGGCTTAGCAGCTTACTGTATGACTCAACTATATCGAGGTAGTATCCGATAGAAAGTGTAACCTGGTACTAGGGGTTGAGCTCGAGAAATGTAGGAAAAGAAAAGGTGCAATGTCAAATGACCCTATATCCACACACTGAGTAGCTTCTGCGGCGTCTTTTCTATCTCTTTCATTGTTCTCTAGGAGCATCCTTGAAGGTGCCACGTTCTGGTGGCTATTCTGGTGGTGCCAATTAGGTCAATGGACTTTCCAGTATCGATTTCATGCGGAAAAGTGACCAGAGTGTGAGGTTTCGGATGGGAACGATCATTAACCTTAGCTTTCGTCCGAGTTGCAGGCAGCAAAAGAGCGTTTTAACAGCTCTAATGCGGGCGTGAAGATCACTCATCCAACACTTCTCTTCATGTTTACTATGAAAAATCAAAGGACCAGAACTCCCTTCGAAACCCAGTTTTGGAGAATGTTCTTGCGCTGAAGCATGCCAAGTGGTAGGGGAATCGTTCCCTCCGCACAAATACACTCAGCCATCGAAGCTCATTCCAACGATCTAGACGCGCTTCATATATCGTATGAAGTGCAAAATCGATTATTAATCGAATTGATTCCATAGTTCCGATTGGATGTTCAAAATCATCCATCTTGTGTTTGTTCTCCAGCGCAATTTTCTGTACTCTTGAATCACTTTCTGATACGTGTCAAGCCATACGCCAAGCCTTTCTTTTGTTGTCCCATACCGGTAGAACCCTTGTTTACGCCTTTCGTGAAAATTGTGTCAACTGCCTCAGAGATGTCGTATCCGTACTATGCAGTGATAATGCCGGTAAGGCGTTTGGCGCCTAGAATAGTAATTGAATCTGATCGCAAATCAGATAAGTAAGTGCACAGTCGGACGGGTTTCATACCTATCCTATTATGATAGCTATCCCCTGTTTCGTGGGGCCTAATGTCAACTCAATTGGTTTATTTCTTAAATTTTGGTTAAACGTCTCCAACAACAACAACTGTACATCATCACCACTCGACAAACTGCGATTAATCTCGTGAGTTGTCTGGTATTGTTGCAATCAGAAGTTCGTACCCAGACGTACAAGCTGAGATTCCGGCTTTGCTGGCCATTCTCAACATCTTTTTTGAACGTTCGCAAATATTCTCCAGTACGAGTAGAGGCCCCTGTAACTGTGGGGGAATATTTGTGGTCAATCATCAGCCGCTCAACTTGATAGCATGTGCGGTAACTTTATTTCAATAAACTTTGGGTGCGAAACGCGGGGCTGAAATTCTCCAAGAGTTACAAGACGGAATTGAGAATGGGTGAGTTCCAGAATTCAAGACCCTCAAAAAGTTTATTCTGACATTCGAAACACACTTTATATGTTGTTGTTTGAATCACGATCACCCCCTTGAGTAATTGGGAACTTCTGTTACGGGCTACGCAAAGTATGCAGATGCTTAGAACGGGATTGTATTCAATGGGAAAGAAGACTACCTAGTATTCAAGGATGGGACCGATTATATACACATCCGGCTGTTCATTGTTCCATTGTCGCCAACCTTTCCAGAATTTACAGAATGATGTTTACGGGAGCGACCGCAAGAGCTTATACTGAAACATGGAATAGCTCTGGAATAATGAGTGATATGTCACTCGTGACAGCCCGACCATATAATCCAGAGGTCAACTCGTGATACCTAAACAGCAAATATCATCGTTTTTCTGTTTTTTTCTGTTTCTTTATTCATTCACTTACAACATATTTGAAATGAGATCTACTTTCGCTTCTGCGCTCCTGGTGAGCGCCATCACTTTTCCTTACCTCTCTTGCGCACAGAAGTTTGTTCAAGTCCCCATAGCGCGAGTCAACAATGGTGACACTTTCGTCGCAGCAGTCAACGTCGCCGTTGGCAACCCACCACAAAATATGACCGCAATCTTAGACACAGGTAGTAGTGACTTCTGGGTGCCGGCAACTGGGAGCAAACTCTGCGCCGATCCTAAAAACCAGTGCATTGCATCCGACAAGAAGTTCTCGACAGGCTCTTTTGCTTCCAATAGCTCTACTACCTTTGTGGCAGGACAGCCGAATTTCTTTGCAATCTATACTGGTGGCGTGAATGTCACTGGGACGTTTATGCAAGACTCAATCCGTCTTGGAAATACTGAACTTAAGAACAATACCATGGGTCTGAGTACCCAGGGTTTTTTACCCAGCGCCCTCTTTCCGGTTATGGGAACCGGTTTTGCAGCTCAGGAGTTCTCTGCTACGGAGCAGGACCCAACACCATATGAGAACCTCCCATTGGCTATGAAATCGGCAGGCTTAACCAATACCGCTGCCTATGGTATTTATCTCAACGATTTCAGTATGTTTCTCCTGTTCTTTACACATAAGATCTAGCGCTAATATTTATTTCAGGATCTACTGAAGGTTCGATCATCTTTGGTGGTATGGATACCGCCAAGTTCACTGGTAACATGACCATGCTGCCAATACTCGAGAATTCCAATGGCCAGGCTACCGAGTTCGTAATATCCACTACTTCTCTCGCTATCACAGGAGGCTCCAACAATAAACGTGCCACCACGAATATATCTCTACCAAACAAACAAACTCCCGTACTTCTGGATACCGGAAACCCTTCAATTGACGTCCCCTTACCCGCCGTCGAAGCGATCGGCAACGCCCTCAACGCGAACCCAGGCCCGGATGGTTCAATGCAGGTCACCTGTGACATTGCCAACAAGGGCATGAACATGGTCTTCGGTTTCTCGGGCACCACGATCCAGGTCCCAATCGAGATGATACTCACGCCTGCAAAAAACAAAGACGGGACGCAGGCAAAGGATAACAATGGTAACAACCTATGCGTCGTCCCGGTAAATCCGACCGCGAATGAAGATGACCTTGTCTCGTATGGCGCCCCGTTTTTCTCAGCAGTATACGCTGTAATGGATTTGCAGAATAAGAAAATCGGCCTTGCTCAGGCTAAGGTCAATGCGACGGAGTCGAATATTCAGGAGATTACTGCGTCAGGTGGTAATACTTCTGTAGCGGCACGCGGGGAAATTTACTCGGGAACCTGGAATAACCCTAGGAGACCTATGCGTACGGTTCCATTAGTGTGAGGATTGTATTATCATATACTTCGAATATTTTCAAGCTATACATCAAAATGTAAGAGTTGAGGCCCCAGCTTATTGCACACTCAACAAAAACATATCAAGAACCCTTATTTTTTCAAATTTTTAATTATATATTATTTTGATATATAAATGAATTGAATTGTTGAAATTAATATAAATAATAAAAAATCAATAAAATAATTCAAAAAAATAAATAAAATATTTTTAATAATTTTTTGTAGAAATTTTTAAATTTTTAAAATTAGAATTTCTAAAAAAAAGAAAAAAAAAAAAAAAAAAAATTTGGTATAAAAAAAGTATTACATATTAAAGATTTTGAATATTTTCAATTTTGAATATTTATAATTTTATTCAAAAAATTATTAAAAATAATTCATTTATTTTTTAAGAAATTGATTATAATTGATACTCATATAACCAATTTTCAAATTATATTTTTTATTTATTAAAAAATAAAATTAAAATTAATTTATATAAAAAAACAACATTTTTGTAGAGATTTTGTTACGAAATAGAATGATGTGTAATAAGCCGGGGCTACAACTCTTAAAAAGGACTGCTGGAGTCGCATGGCAGTAGTAGACGCAGTCGCAATAAAAGCGACAGTCTCACTTATGCCATAATTAAGAGCATTCAAAACGCGCAGTTTTATAGGATACCCGAATTTTAGATCTCTGCTGTAGTTGGATCCAAGGATATATAAGCTCCTAATGAGTCTCGACTCTCTGTGAGTTCTTTAGGTAGCAAAAAATTAATAATTAAACTACAACCAAAATTCTTACTCACAAACGAAAAATAATATCGTTGTCAAATCTCACAGCTGAGGAATAAGCTAAATTTGTCTGCATACCCTTGAATACGCATACGGCGATAGATTTTCTTTCATGGGGCCCGAGAGAAATACAAACATCACGTTGGACGGTCGTTGAGACTTTGAGGGAAGGAGTCATATTTTCCTTATTTCAAGCTGCTTCATACCTCAAAATCTATCATCCCAGCACCTTGACTCTTTTCTCATTCCTTCTCTACTTATCTTCAATAATAAAAGCCTGCGTCCAAGGAGTCTGGAGGACGTAAGTCCACATTACATCATACACAAGTTTATAGACTGTAAAAATAATCGAAAAAAAAATATCTGGAATCTCAAAAGAGCTCTACAATATCGGAGATGATATGCTGTTCAATTTAATCTTGTTAGAACACGATTGATGTATTTCAATACGTCTTGTGGGAGATTATCAAAGTACCTACTAGGTAGTCGAAAGACAGGTGACCAAATAGTGTGTAATATATGCAATTTATACCGAGGATTGGAACGCATCTATTTCGTATGGCTGGGCATTGTATTTTCCTGCTTTGGGAATGCGATTTCAGAGAAATGGAGGATTGTGTTTTCGTTCGATATCATCTAGTGGAAGAGTGCTCGATTTTTCTGACCTTCCCCAACAATTTGATCACACAGTCCTCATCTCAAATCGGACAGCCATCGTTATCATAAAAGACCCCGAAGAAATACCACAACGCATATACCTACATATTCTCTCTATAAGTTACTCGAACCAGAAATATTATCCCATATCATACCCAATCCCAAGAGACTCTCTTCTACCCAATACATCTTTTTTCGATCCGGAATGCAGATCCTCGATACAGCTAGCTAATATAACAATTTATTTGCCTACAAGGTATACTCTCCGCTCAGAAGATCTTTTCAAAGAACCACCTAACCTACCTACCTACATACCTACCTATCTACTTAGTTATATATACATCTATCTATATCCATAAACAATTCTGCGAAGATGATCTGTATTTATGTAGCTAGTTTACGTAATCTTACATGAAACATAATATATACATCCCAGTACAATCCGCTTCTTCCCCTTTTCCCCTTCTCCCAACACCAGACCCAATCCACCAACCCAAACAATCCCTCATATCCACAAACAAACAATGCTCAAAAGCCTCGGGCACCGCGCACCTCTAATTTCTACTTGTCCTCCAGAACCCTCTCTAACCCACCATTTCTACCACCACAGCACAGCACAACTCATCCTATCTCTCCTCTCCACATCCAATAACCACACCCAATAACCACACTCAACTTTCGATGCCTAGGTATTCAGCCCTATGCCAGAGTCCACTTTTGACTGTTGAACCCTTCAGTTCTAGCAGAAGGAGACCCTGATAATTTCGCAGTCGGCTCGGCACAGGATATATTAATGTGTAGCATTCTCTACAGCAACCTGACGAAAGACGGCGGGGGGTGATCAGAATTCGTTCATTTGTGATAATCAGGAGATGGGATGAAGAAGAGAACAAAACTCGAAGGTAGGGGGTTATGGGAGGAATAAATAGACAAAGGGGGAAAATGAGATAGTATCAAAAGAGGTATGGAATGTACAGCTTACTATCTTGCCCAAGTTTATCGAAACTTAGGTTTTCTCACACATACAATCTCGCCATTTCGTAGATACAACTAGTTGCAAAGTCCCACGAGAGAAAATACAGCTATTGACAACATCTGTTTGTCACTTGACCATATATACAAGAGAGCAAAGCTATAGATACGATTTATATCTTTGAAGGATAAGGATACACACGAACAGCTAAAGATACATGTAAACAGTTTTTCATCACTCTAAAGTTCAATATGAATGCATGTACTCCATACAAAGGTAAGATAAGTAAGTTTGAGAGTAATTCACTTTGTGAAGACGTGTATTAAGATGAAATTGATGATAGTGAGGTGGAGCGACTTCGGAAGGTGTCGGCAATATATAAACATCATAGACTCATGCAACATAACCAAAAAAAAAGAATCAAGCATCAACGCATAAACAACTCTCTACTTACTCATTCTCTTCATACAACAATCATTCCACGTGCTCATTTGAATGTACGCCAGATATGCGTTGATTGTTAGATTTTTCGTTCCTAGAGTGTTTGCCCTGCCATTACAAGTGGGCACTTTGCATAGACAACGTTTTCAATATGACTTAGCTAGGCGTTTAACAAAGTTTTTTTGACTGACAACGCGGCAAAAGTCTCACATAACGAGTCTGCCAAGATTTCATATGACGAAGCCTTCAAAGTTGCATACGATGAAGCCGCGAAAGTCTCATATGACGAGCCTGGGAAATATTCCGACAATGAGACAGCAAACGTCGCCTATGACGAGCCGGCGACTTTGGTCTACGATGAGCCTGCCAAAGTAAGTTATGATCAACCGGCGTAAGTCGCAGGAGACATATATTTTCGTAAGGCGATCTGCAACCCCGCCCAAGCAGTTATAAACTGACCCAGGGAACATCATAGAGATATTCAAGGCCCGATGATCTGATTCGGTGGGATACAGAGACTATGATGAACGACCCATTTGCTGAAAGAAATATGGATCTATCAAGGGAAAAGAAAGTATGAAACATATGACACGCTGATGTGAAGATCCATATATCAGAGTAGTTTTTACAGAGAATGCACTTGCATGGCTACCTCTTTTGTTTAAAATAGTGATTGAGATGCTGAGCACTTTATGTACATGTCGTGGCAACAGTGAAATACTGAGTATGGGGTTCAAGTTCATGATGCTTGGCTTCAAGCATGTCGAGCATGGCCACTTCTGCACAAGATGAACCGACTTCCGAAATTTACATTGCAGCCGACTCTTCCACATTGCACCGACCAGGAAGAAAGACCTTATTCAGGACCGACTTTCACATTTGCGGTCGGATACATGTCTTGTCCTAGCAAGCATCATGTGAAAATTGAAATCATCTACAGCATGTGAAGCCGAAGTGACGTCTAGTTCTAGTTTCATGGCAAGCTTAGACGAAGTGGACAATGGAGAATTCGTATTTTCTGCCGGTCAAATTCGTGGGGTTCCGTGCTAGGATGAGATTTTTGGACATGGTTAGGTGGTCGACGATGATAACTTTGATGTTATTGTCAAGGCGGTATGAGACTAAGCCCAACGCACGATGACGCCAATGTAGAATAATCAGCGAGTTGATATTTTGGGAAAAAAGCTTTGATGCTGTTTGGCGTGGTAAATTGTTCCATTAAAGAAGAAGATGGTTAGTGGTCGTGGGCGAGAAGGCTGTTCATGGTAAGTGATGCGAATACTTCGTATACGCCGGCTTGGAGTATGCGAACGGATCAGCATTTGTCCTGGACGAAGAGATTATCATTCGTAAAACATTCGTATATATTTTTGTCCCAATTCTTTGATACGCAGGGCAATAGAAGTTTATTGAAGATCTGCAGCTACCGACGATGATAGATCGAATCATCCATGCAGCCTGCCGCAGCGTTTGGTGATCTTCGTGAACTATAATACGTGATATCGGTTTCCGTGTTACGGGATCATCAATACCGGCATTATCAGATAAATGCAATATGATGCAAAATAACCGTACGAATCCAAAACTGCAAGTATTAGAAATTGATCATAGCATGTCGTGATAAGCTCGAGTTGAAGTCTCACCTTCCCGTTGGGCACATGTCCGAAGTATCCTCATCGTGAATAGCTGTCTGATGTGTTGAGCCATCAAAGTTTATGTGGAATTATGTAAGGAATAAGGATCCTCAAGAAGAAAGTCGGGGATGTTTCCGAAGCTTCTCTCATCCTTCTCTTGATCCTTTGATATCTTCTTTTACGTACTCACGTCTCAGCCCCCCAAATGGTAGCTCGGATCTAAAAATAATAAAAAGGAATGGTCGTTAGTGAGCAACGTAGCTGAAGAGTTGAGAACAAAGCGATAACATTCGACCATACCATACTGCGTCGACAATGTAGATCTGTTAGAGGACTCAACGCTTGAATCATACCGGATAAACGTCGCTTATCCTTACTTGTCATTTGGTCATCCAATAATCTTCCGTTTCGGCCGATGAGATATTTATACAATCACGTGAAATCATCCCGCTCCCATTGTGAATGAACAAATCATCGGTATCCATCCCGTCTTTATACAGGGAAATAGGGGTACGTGTTATCCTATGAGCCTATTAACCTACAGGTCGCCTGCAGAGGCTTAATGCGGGACATCTGGATATCAAGATGATTCGAAGCTTTGATCGCCATGAGATTTTGGATGTTTGTCTTTCCA